TAAGCTGGTTCTTCACAAGACCTACCTATGATTAAAATTTGATAGCAATAGACTCATTCCCAAGCTAGTTATCAAACAGAAAGCAATTTACTATATATATATATTACATATGTTTAAAAAAAATGGCCATAACAAAAAATGACGGAATCTTGACAGCTTTTTACGGACACCACCCCCTTATGTATGACATTTTATGTACACACTTCTGTATAGATTGAATGACACGAAGCAAACTACTAGTACTTTCAAGTATATGGCTAAGAACGGACGGAAAGACAGACGAATGATAAAAGCCAAAACAATATTCCTCTTCCGATTTCACCGGCGGAGGATAACAAATGGTTGATGTTGTGCCCGTGAGCGCTTCCCTGAAGCGTTTTGACCCCGGGGATCATGATTGGACGGGGGATTTTTTTGTTGTTTTTTTTTTTGTAGAGGTCCACCAGATGCTTCTTGCCAAAATTCCAAGCCTTATATCTATTGTGGTTCTGAAGAAGATTTTTAAAAAAATAGCTTACGGACGTACGCACGGACAATTTCAAAAATATTTCAATTTTCAATGGGTAAAATCTGCACTTTTTTCATCCGTTTTTCAAAATTCTTTCAGTTATCACGGTAGGTACCCGGATAATGGAGATCGCGGATAATGAAAGAGTATAATGGCAGATCGCCAGTTCAGCAAAAATGCATGGAGAGGTTAGTATTTGTCTGGATGTCGTGTTATAGCGATCGCATACATAACCTTTTGCGATAGATAACAATCAAGCGATGTCATATCCTTACTCTGATACCCATACCTTCGGAATTGGCCGCCAGATAAAGTGGAAGAAGGAAAATGATTACGCAACATCCCAAATTTCTACAAAAAAAAAACTACATATCATACCCATTTATAATATATTCAAACATGTTTTTTGTACACGACACTGCTGTTATCAAAGCCCTAACATCGGCAATTAATACGCTATCCCACATGATCCAGTAGCATGAATATTTTCCTTAACAAACGCATTTTTTATGAGGCACCTGAAACAATTTGGATAATGGGAATTCTTTCAGCTGATAATGAGAAATTCAAATATTTAGCAAATGGATAATAGTGGAATTTTCGTTTTGCTCTTAATTTTAAATGCTTAGATAATATTTATTTATTTAAATAATTATATTTTGTAGTCCTTTTGCTATCCACTATGATTATAACAAAACATCTGTATCTTTTCATTGTATTTTTGACCTTTCAGTCGTTGCTTTTATCAAATTATAAGCGTTTCTGCAATTCAGTTGAACGAAGCGAGGTTATTTTGTTATTTTGCGTCCTTGCACTGAAAACGTATCTGTCATAAAACCATGATTAATGTATTGTCTTTGTTGATGCCATCATTTCTTGTTCGAGGTATAATCTACAGAATGTTTATGTCTTCAATCAGTGTCAGTGTGTAACCCTTTGATGGTTAGAGCTCCGATTAAAAAAAGGGTATTGAATGGACACAAACCGTTTCGGTCGGAAATACAATTATGTTTGTATAGCGGACGTATAATACATCCCAGCAAACACATGGCGTTAAAATAACGTCGGATTAATGTTAGATTTTGGTCACGACGTCGGCGACCAAAATACGACGTAAATCTGACGTTAAAAAACCGATGTTTATTAGACGTTTCTTTTTGACGTCGTGCTAACGTCAGGTTCTGGTCGGTGTCCTGACAGTAGGTAAAAAATTAACAAAAAATAATCCTTATTCGCTGTTGTAATCATTTAAACTTTTTTTCAAATGTTATTTGGATTACAAATGAAATGTTCTTATATAAATATACAGACCAAGATCGCGGCGCTGCAACCTAATAAAACATATAGGTGGCGCTGTGTATAGGCAAGTTACATGTATTATTGTTATGAAATCTATTTATAGCCACAGATCTGTTTACAAACGTTATAATATTATCATTTGTGGTACATTATATGTATCAAAATCACGAGTTTTTTAATAGTGCTTTAACATTTAATCATAGTGACAGAAAAGGGAAAGAAAACATAATTAACCTATAATTCGAATCTAAAGTCACGTGGATGGAAATTCAAATTCGTAGGCGTTACGTTTTGGCTGTCGGTCAGGAATCGGGATGCACTGATAAAGTGAATATTATAGATTTTCTTGAACAAAAAGGTCAGTTCAATTTATTTAGATTTATTTCTACTTTGTATTTGATAAATAATTGCATGATTGTAAGCACTCTTAAATTTAATTATCATTATTTGAACAGCTGAAGTGAAATGTCACACAAATTCGCGATAAATGTCTAATAATAAATCTTTTTAAAATTGACATGTTTTAACTCTGCTTGTAAAGAGTTTATAATATGCCTTTCAGTACTACCAAAGAGAATGCTTAGTTTTCATATTTTTCTTCAACTGTGATGTTTTTGTCAGTTAAAATCTGAGAATTGAGAATGAATTTGTACGATTTCGAGCATTTCGGACCAAGACGTTTCGGTCCCAAATAACCCAAAACGTTCCGGTCCCAAATAACCCAAGACGTTTTGGTTCCAGACATTTCGGCATTAAATCTTTAATTTAAAACTATGAAATATTTAAGACTTGCGTAACTGTTCTATTTCAAACGTAGAATATATACATATGTTAGAATATAATTTTCTTTTCAGGTAGTTAAAGTGTTGGACATGCTCTCAAAGGTCGGAGGGACAGAAACACGTGAATATGAATAAAGAAACATATGAAAGTAAGATTTTTGTAAATTCTATAACATACTTTAATCCATACTAAACTGGAGTTTAAAAGCGGCTTTTTAAATGTTCAGTATTTATGTTTACTTTTAATTTTTGTTAAATCTCTCTTATAAAAAGTTAGCAAAATTGTTCATTAAGTTAAGATAACCATGAAAACATTTTTGCTTGTTATTTTTACATGTTTCATAAATTTCTTTTTTTTTCAGTGAAAATGATGTCACACACGCTATTGGACGCTACATATCCTCCGGACAGACGAGGGGTGCTGAAAGAAGGTCATATCTTAAAGCATCACACCTCAAAATTCGTGCTAATTCTCATGGAGAAGTAACTAAAAGGCAGCAATTTATACATTACTGACAATTATCAAAGGAGGTCAAAATATGCAAAATGGCACTAAATGTTTTAGAAATGCTGTAGAAATATAGTTAAAATACTGAAAATTAATTGCTTGAAACATTATTATCAGAATCTTTTAACTTTTCTTTAAATTATAATATTTTTATTATTTTATTTGATAAGGCAAACTTTGATAGAAATGTGCATACATTATTTTGTTCTTTAATATTTGTACATGTTTTCTTAGTTTCATTTATGTCATTGTTTTTGTAATCCCTTTTTGTTTTGTAATTAACTTATTTTATTTATGTTTTATTTTGTTTAGTTTATGAAAATTATTTAACCTTGCAGAATTTACTATAATTGTATGTATCAGCTTAAAATTGCAATTTTTATTTTAAATTAAAAAAGCATAAAACATATTTTTGCTTTCAGTTGTCTGTTATACATTTCATTGGAGGGAAAGTTACTTAATAGAATGAGTTACATTAAATTCGATCAAATCAGGATTAGCCAGAAAATATTTATGACGTGGTGAAACAAAAAAGATTAGGGGAATGATCAGATGAAGGTCAGAAAATGACCAGATTTAGGGCAGAAAAGGGTTAATATTTAGGTCGGAAAATGGTCAGATTGAGGTCGGAAAATGGTTAGAAACTGGTTAGATTTAGGTCGGAAAATGGTCAGATTGAGGTCGGAAAATGGTCAGATTGAGGTCGGAAAATGGTTTGATAATGGTCAGAAAAAAGTTAAATAATGGTTAGATTCTGACGTCTACCTGACGTCAGATTATTACGTCAAAAAAACTTTCAAATCCAACCGTTTTTCCGACCGTCATCCGACGTCAGAACCTGACTTAAATCTGACGTCAGTATGACGTCTTGTGTTTGCTGGGATAGCTTACGAATGTTTAAAGGCACAGATGAATATAAATAATATCAAACAAACTCACATGAAAACGAAAGACATTTCCGATATAATTATAGATAGAAAACATTATTAGCGCGGCAATTAAAAACGCTACAACCACATGCCACATTTCATTAAAGGGAAGAAACTATATTAATTGCGCGACATTTTGAAAAGCAAATCATTCAGTCACCAGGTACTCTTTCGTTGTGATAAAGTAATGGCATTGTTCAATTATTCAAACTTTGAAATTGAAAAACACTATGATGAGCGAACTTACTCAAATCTCTTCAAGTTAGGAAAGGGGATTGACGTTACGAAAAATATTGAATGTTGTGAAGAAGTTAGAAAAGCAGCCCATTCACAGATGATTGATAATAATTAAAATAGGAAATCACCACCATGTTATGCTAATTTTACCAAGTCTTTACGCATTTTTAACTTAGATTGATTCCTGTGACTCGAATTTCACGGACAACGAAGTTCACGGTAAACGAAGTTATCTGATCGGTAATAATATCGCCCCCATCGGAAAACACGTTTTAGAATAGATGGCGGTATTCCGAAAGCAGGTGCGTGAAATCACGTGATGCAACTTAAACGATGATGGCTACTGCATTGATACTGTTTTGAACAAGAACTACCCAATCGACAAAGTACGTCACTCTCAAAATCGTTGTTATGTATAACGGTTGGCTCCCATTAAGAGTATACCTATCTTAGACCATAAAAGTTATAGTAATTAACTAATGTATTTATTACCACCATACAGACAAATACAGCTTCGCTTAACCCGGGATTAAGAGGCTCTGGTGGTTAGTTTTAGTTGATGCGATTGGAACAGAAAGAAATTATGATAACGTACTGGGTCATTTATTTTGTCAGTAGGGCTGGTGGCATTGTTTCATAAAGTTAGCAGTTGGCGGAAAGAGATGGATGATGCAAAAAAAGCAGACTAAGTAGTATTCGGGTTAGAATAAAGGAAACTATACCATTATCCACTCATCAATTTCCATATTATCCATTGAATTTTTCTAGGCGAATCCCCATTATCCAATTTTTTTAGGTGCCCAACATTAAATACGTTTATACAGAAAAATATTCATACTTCTGGCTAAAGTGGGGTGGCGTTTTTAAGGTCGATGTTTTGGGCTTTGATAACAGTTTCGTGTTTAAAAAAAGTAGTGATATATTTTCATGAACGTAATCATGTAATTTGGTAAAAATGCTTTGATGTGCAAAATAAATTTCCCAGTTTTTCCACTTTATCTGGCGGCCAATTCCAAATGTAAGTAGGTATCAGAGTAAGGATATGCATCGCTTGATTGTTATCCGTCGCAAAATGTTATGTTTATGCGTATCACTATATCGACATATTCAGGCAAATACTAAATTATCCTCTCATGCCTCCCTTCTCCGAACTGGCAATCTGCCATTATACCCACAATCTTTCATTATCCGTGTATCTCCAATTATCCCGGTACCTACCGTGTTTTTGTTTTGGTCTTGACAGTAGGTCTTTAAAACATAGAAGAAGTAATAATTTTGATTTGCCTTATCCTTTAAATGCCCGTATGAAAACAGGAATGCTGCCAGATCTACATGGAATATGCGGATTCCTTAAATTCGCTCCTTTCCTTTACCTTTAAAACTTCTTTATTTACACAGGTTTTAGTTACAAGCGGTGGTATTATGTCACATCCGATTTAGAGAGACGAATACATACGTGCTATGCTTACTATTAACAAAGAGCGGAACTTTGATTGTGGTAGCACTTGGAATTAAATCTACTAACAGAGACGTACAAATGTATATAACATCCTAGTCTCTGCTACTAATGAGATATCATAAACCAGATAACCAGAGTAGAATTGAATGTCTAAATGTATCTATGAACATACTTATTTACGTTTCCTTTCAAGTAGCAACATTTCAAATCAGTGATATGTCTAATGCCTAGAAAACCATTTTCCAGTAACATGCATAAAATATTCACTTGGTACCCTAAATTAGTTCTTTTAAAAGTATTTCATGACTTGAAAATTACTCTGGTGTCTACCCCTCAATTTCTTTATCCACAGAACTAAGATTTTGGCCAAATTATCACTTAGTAGGTGGTATTGGTAGTTTTATCCTCCGGATCACGGCAGAAGCCACATTGAATTCACTAGAGCACAGTTCAATCACCGCATCATTCCTGGGCAAGCTGTCAATCAGTTAACCAGTACTAGCTGCCATCACTTTCGCAAGGAACTGCAACTGCTGTACATGTCTAAGCAGTGGTACAGTGCGAATGATCGTTGAAATGATTTCATGATCAATCATAACGAAAGTGACCAGCGCCGCCCGGGAAATCGAACCCTGGTCGCTCGATTCACAGTCCTAAGCTCTACCTATTATCAGTAGTATCTGTTCTGTGCATTTATATATATTCCCGCTGTTCAACATGAAGCCAAAACATGTCAAATAAAGTTTCCTTTTAAAAGGAAAGGCTTGCTCAGTGTGTCATCATCCCTTCCCTTTAAAATTGTGGGTTTTTTTCTTGTTTCAATTTATTATGACAATTTTTTTTTTTGAATTACGGTATTTGTATATCATAAAGGGTTTATATAGTTTTTTCTCGAAAAAAAAAGTTTCACTTTTAAAGGGATAGGTAGGGTAAGCCCAAGACTGGACGAGCACCTGTGCCCATTTTTTTTGAGCACCAGTGGTTATGCGTAAATAGGGACCAGAAGACAACTGTTTATAACTGAACGGGAACGTTAACATGCTGACGATAACAGTTGCAACTTTTTTTGTAAAAATGAATATTTTTTTGTCAAAAACGATTTGAAATCTATTCTCTATTAAAATAATCAATCGTAAAAAATACTAACATTGGCTCTCACGTGGAGATCAATGACATTTCATTTCCACTTTTTTCGCAGAGAGAGTCATTCGTTTTGGCAGTTGCTAATTTCATTTCTATAGCAGCTTTAGAGACAAGTGAATGCACTAAAAGACTTCGTTACGTGGTACCAATTAACAAGCATGTATCAACAATGTTACACCTAAAATATCTATGGACGTGGTAAGGTTAATGATATGCATGGGCTATTTTTAGATTACCTCAGCAAGACGTTTAAACTATGTCAGTAGATCTAAATATAACTTGACCATGCACTTATATTCTGCGTGATTCGGTCACGATATTTTCACAGACGCTTGGGGTTTGGAGCTCAAAACGCCTTTAAAATCCAAATAAAATGCATATTTGTCAATCCCAGGACATGTACTGATCATATATATCAAAAAATCTTAATATATGCCGTTTTGAAAAAAAACCATATTTCAACATCTATAATAATACACAAGATAAAAATGTTCGCCGGAAAAAATCCGCACCCCTACCGTTATAATCACCATGTATTTTAATCCATTTCCAATATTTTCACATAATCCTTTGGTCCATCGACACAGAAGATATAATTCTTCACGATGATGGTCAATTTTAAACTTCAACGGTAATATAAACAACGCAACAGCCGAAATAAACATCAATATTCTCGCCGTTTTTTTTCAACGACAAAAACTTTCGATAAATTCAATGGACCAGACGGATATGAACGAAGCTATCCGATTATGTGGCCCCAGCTTTGCCGTGTGCAAAATGCGCAGCGCTTTTAAGTTTGGGAACCACATAATCGGATAGCTTCGTTCAAAGCCGTCTGGTCCATTGAATTTATCGAAAGTTTTTGTCGTTGAAAAAAAACGGCGAGAATATTGATGTTTATTTCGGCTGTTGAGTTGTTTATATTACCGTTGAAGTTTAAAATTGACCATCATCGTGAAGAATTATATCTTCTGTGTCGATGGACCAAAGGATTATGTGAAAATATTGGAAATGGATTAAAATACATGGTGATTATGACGGTAGGGGTGCGGATTTTTTCCGGCGAACATTTTTATCTTGTGTATTATTATAGATGTTGAAATATGTTTTTTTTTCAAAACGGCATATATTAAGATTTTTTGATATATATGATCAGTACATGTCCTGGGATTGACAAATATGCATTTTATTTGGATTTTAAAGGCGTTTTGAGCTCCAAACCCCAAGCGTCTGTGGATATTTTGGTAAGCAGGACCGACCTTTGGAGACGGTATAATACTACATTAACCATTCTCTATTTTATAACACTAATAAAGGCAAAAACCAATTATAAAAGAAACTAACTTTTGCGACTTGAAAAAGAATTTAAACGGAATCAAGTAAAAATAGAAAAACAAACTGGGATTTCCAAAGTAACTGAAATAGCTTAGATTTCCGTAATATTACTTCGTCTGATTCCGCAGTATGACGGAATCGCCCGAATTGTCACGATTGCAATCGGAACAACCTCGGCTATTATAATTAATCCGAAGAGTGACGGAAAGGGCCGAAAAGTTGCGATTGGCACGATTGCAACTGGTTTCCTGTTCAATCATGCACTAACAAATGTAAGCAGGAAACCACCTAACCGGAACAACTTTTCCAAAACAAATAGGCTTGCAGCCGTGGCTTTATAATTTGTATTTAAGCATGAAATTACAGACAAAAGTATTTAATTAATCGAAAAAAAAATTATTTTATTTTCGCACCTAAACTAAAGCAAACGGATGTTGTACTAAATTGTCGATTTTGATTGGCTTACAGCTGACGGTGTTCGGGAAGATAAATGCTACATAAAATGATAAATGGAGGGTTCAGGGGAACCTGCTCCAAAACGTGTTAAACACGAAGAGACAATCTTTAAAACGTTTGATAAATGTCTGAGGTCGCAGTTAGACAAAGTCCGTAAATCGTTACGAGATGGAATGAGTGATTTAAATTTGAGATTTTTGAAGATTAGGTGTGCAAATGCCAATGCGAGTGTATCGTTTTCAAAAGCCACCTGTGACACAGAATCGCATGTTTGGCCCGAAAGTAGCGGAATTGCTCTTACAGGAAAGAAAGTCAAATGTGTTATCGGCAGCATTTTTGTTGAGGGTTTGGATATGATGGAAAAATACTTCAAGCGAGGTAAAATTCCAGAAGATCCTGACTACCAGAAAGCTCTTGAAAAGTTGTTGACATTCCTCTCGAAATCAAGAGAAGGTAAGGCATAATTTCATAATTATTATAGATCTACTGTAAGTCAAAATAATTTGTCTCAATTTTGAGATAATTTTGTGATGGGCAAAATTTCCCCTCTACGTCTAAAACAAGACTTTTTTTAGGTCGAAAATTGATGTTTGAAAAATATAAGTATACTCCACATCATTGGGTTCATCTCATGTCATCATTGGAATCGCGTTATGAACTTATGACATAACTTTGGTTCATGACATCAGATACATGATAACAAATGACATCGTTTCAGGAGTAAATATGAGATTTAAAGAAATATTGTGTTTTCAAACAATATAAGCAAACACGGTTTTATATTACAGGGATCGGACACTCCCAGTTAACTCTATATAAATGCTTAAATATCTTGTCGTGCACCCGATAAAGGTACATCGATCGATAATTTATCGGCGCTAAGCGAAAATGCCCGTTCGCAACGGATACCTACTTTACAAAATAACATATAGCTTTTCCATTTATTATACGATATTTGAAATTTAAAGTTTATTTTCAAGAAAAATGCTTGTTAAATTAAAATATCTAATTTATTTTTTAAAGATACAGACTATCTGTCCGCAACGACGATTAAGAAATTAACTTGACGAAATCCGCGATAAATTTACATTTTTTATATAAAAAGCAGATATTTGAAATTTGTTATTACGGTAACATAATAAATTCAATTTCAAAATAAAAAGGAAGCCGGTGTAAGTTATTCACAGTTGATCAAAAATGCAATATTTATGATTTATTTGGTTATGTAGTCAAATTTATTAACGCACAATTGTTTTACAGGTAATGTATTGCGGGCTTTACTATTCGCTCAACATGTGAAGTAAATTTATTCATTTTTTTTTTAAATACAAGAGATTGCTGAAATTGCCAATACATGTATTGCCATTTTCATAGGAAATTGAAATTTTCTTCAGTATTTAATTATATCATATTTTTTTTTGTAAATCTGTTGCAGTGAATTAGACAATCATCGTAACAGTAAAGTACTCTCGTGTTGCTGTCTCGATTCCGGCCTTTTTAATGTCACTCGTATTTTAATAATTCACTCGAATATTTTAATTATTCTTTTTATTTGAATGCCTGTAGAAAGATATTTCTGATATTTTTTAATGTAACGCTAAAAAACAATAAAAATCTTTACAGTTTGAGTCAGTATTATGCGAAATAAAAGTAACTGTTCATTATTTTTTACACATCGCTTAAATTTCTTTGAAGTTTAAATACTTTTGAAGGGGGTTAATTACCAGGTAACAAGTGATAATTGAAAAAACTTTATTTTCAAACTTTCATTATCAGGTTACATGTGATATAATTTCAACACTTAATCTTCAAAAACAAATAGAATTTGAATGTATATGTTGTATGGGGTGGTCTTTAACTACAGTCCATGGCATGTGTGGTAAGAAAATGATTCTGAAGAGATCATATATATAAATACAACGTAAATCTATTTTCTTTATTAACATTTATAAATGAAATTGAAAATAAACAACTTAATTTGTATAGTCCTATCTTTGAAAAATAATGAAAATAAACATATGACAAATAAATCATGTGACGTTAATTGTGAAGGATAACTATGAAAAAAATCAGTTTCAAAAAAAATAATATTATAAAACAGCTGTTCTGTATGCCAATTAAAGTTTCTTCCTTGCCAATCTAATTAATTCATCTATATATGAACGAATGTCTATAATGATCTGAAAATATATTTAATACACTAATTAGTAGAATATTTACTATATTTATACTAATATACAGGTATATCAAATAAAAAATGTACAAATCTGACATTTGGAAATAATTCACAGAAATAAAGACACATTTCAAACATGAATTTCTTTAAAAGTATTTTAACAATCAAGAAACATTTTTTTGCAATGCCACCATTAAACCATGTAAAAAATAATAATCTTAATCTGAATAGCGGTAATAATTTATGCTTGACGTAAAAGGGCATCAAAGTGTAGAGAGTATGCCTAAACAATAGGCAAATATTTTTTAAATTAGGTATTTTTTAACTAAGCGTTGCAGCCTAAATCTATCGGCATATTTTCATATATTAATACTTTAGCTGCACAAAATAATATAGTATCAAAACATTCATATGTGTATAATTTTTCACAAAGCTGCAATAAGACCACATACTCTTGTGAAAATCTGTCATATTTCGCACTCCGAGCGTTCCGCCATATCATTCTGTCCACCTTTATCCGATTCCGCGCATGCGCGCGACGGGACTTAAAGCTAAACGAAAGTGTCCGATCCTTGTAATATACATCCGTGAAGCAAGGTAGGGTTTTTTGTTCAAATGGAAATTATGCACACATTTACAGTTTCTATCTGTACAACAAACATATCCGAAGCATTCTGGATGAGCGCCCGAGATATTTTTCGTGTAAATCTACTCGTTAACGCATATTTTCCGTTGAAAATAGCGTTTTGTTAACTGCCAGTCTGACTTTATTTCTTCCTCGATTTCTTTAAAAAATATATCATTGAAATCAGTAAAGATTAAGCTCGATAATGATGTAAAATTTAATGTAGTTTTATTCAAATTAAACTATTTTATCAGCAATAAAATATGAGTACTAATCATGACCCACCCTGGGGCTTTTCATGTTAAATTAAATATAGTAAAACTTTGAAAAATTTCTCTGTAAGCACAGGGCCTAGACCTTAAATATTCTGCATGTAGACCTCTGTCATGTTTGCTGATTTTTTACCTTGACCTTGACATACTGACCTACTTATTTGTCTTTTAAGCTACAGGGCCACAATTAAAAAATTCCTTGTTTGCTGTCTCCCGACCCTGACTTGAAAGTTAGGGTAGGTAGGTAGGCAGAATATTTTTTTTTATTTTATGACTCTCCAAAGTTATCTCTATGTTCATAAGAAAGCAAAATATGCTGTAAACAGACTGTTCAAAACTTAAACTTATGTTCTATATCATCTCTTTTCCTCATAAAAGAACTTTATTTTGCTTTGAAAATTGTTTGTTCCTTATGCGAGTTTGAGCTAAATGACAAAAAAAACATTTCAGCTCAGGAGGCAATAAAAACTTTTGGGTAGGGCTGATTTTTAAAGGTTCGGTAGGGAGACAGCAAACAAATATATTTTTAATTCTGGCCCAGACTTACAATTTGCACCATGTGCACTGTTTTAACTACAGTTTTGAAATTTGACAGCTTACATTGACCTAGTGACCTACGTTTTTGTTTTTGGACTTGTAGACTTGAAATTTGAAATATTAGCACAAATTTAGGTATAATTTTGAATTTTGATAACAGCTGACCTAGATTTTAACCTAGAGTTAATCTAGGTTGCAGCTTTTTATACGCCCGTTTGAAAAACGGGACGTATTATGGGAACGCCCTGGCGGCGGGCGGTCGGGCGGGCGGGCGGTCGGGCGGGGGGGCGGCGGGCGTCCAATTTTGTCCGGAGCATATCTCCTACATGTATGGAGGGATTTTAATGAAACTTCATATAAATGTTCACCACTATGAGGAGCAGTGTCGCGCACATGAACCAGGTCTCTAGGTCAAAGGTCAAGGTCACACTTAGAGCTCATTGAAAAATGCTTGTCCGGAGCAAAACTTCCACATGTATAGAGGGATTTCAATATTACTTGCACAAATGTTCACCATTGTGAGGCGGAGTGTCGCGTGCAAGATTCAGGTCCTTGCGGCCAAGGTCAACGGTCACACTTAGAGGTCAAAGTTCAGATAAAAATATGAAGATGTGTATAGGACCATTTAGTCATCATTTATTGAGGGATTGTAACACAAATGGTCATTATCAAGACTATTGGCTGTGATATATATAATTTAGGTCAAATATTATTACAAGGTCAAGGTCATCTAAAGATGATGAAAATATCCAGATTTGTAAAAATAGAATTTAATCAAAGGGAGACAACAAAGTTATACTTGTTCATAAAGTGACTCACAATATACTCCCCTTGATCTATTTCTAAAAATAGAATTTAATCAAAGGGCATGAAATAATCCTCTCTTCTTGGACTTTGAGTATGTTGTAAAAATGTAACATTTATTTACCATGTATTCCTTATTGGTCAAGATACTTAATCTTGATAACATTATGGTGTTCTGGTAGACTTGTATTTGTTCATTTAAAGATCATACAGTAATTACCTTATCAAATGTAAAAATACTTTCTCATTGAAATTTAAATTTATATTTTAAAAAAAAAAAAAATTTTCAAAGTAAATATCAGTTCAGCTCATTCAAAGATTTAAGAATTGTAATGAAATGTATTTCCTAGAAAAAAATAAAATCTTAAATTAGAATTTTTTTAGTTATTAAAATTACATGTACTTTTTATACGCCCGTTTAAAAAAAATAAAAATATGAAATATGTATAGGGACGATTTAAAATCATCATTTATTGAGGATTGTAACACAAATGGTCATTATAATGACTACGGCTGTGACACATGTACTTTTTAGGTAATATATGCAAGGTCAAGGTCACTAAAAGATGGTGAAAAATATCCAGATTTTTGGTCTGGAGCATATCTCCTACATGTATGGAAGAATTTTTATAATACTTTATGGAAATGCTCACCACCATGGATATGTATTGCTCCATGCAGATCCAGGTCTCCAGGTCAAAGGTCAAGGTCACACTTAGAGCCCATTGAAAAACGCTTGCCGGGCAAAACTTCTACATTCATAGGGGTTTTCAATATAACTTTGGCACAAAATGTTCACCATTGTGAGGCTGAGTGTCCGCATGCAAATTCAGATCCCTGCGACCAAAGTCAAGGTTACACATAGAGGTCAAAGTTCAGATAAAAATTTGAAGAATGGTTAATAGGGGAACCATTTAGTCATCATTTATTGATTCGGATTGTAGCAACAAATGGGGTTAACTATCATGACTACAGGTGTTACACATTTAATTTAGGTTAATTTGTTTGCAAGGTCAAAGGTCACTGGAGATGATAAATA